TTTACTGGAACGACGGGTGTGCTCTGTGCTCTCACTGGGTGGAGTTCACCCTCTGCTTAAGCCACAGGCACCTTTCAGTAATTTTTGCTCCTCGTCAGAGCCGACGTGTTCCCTTCCTTTCTATCCTCAACATGAAATAAGTAACTCAGTCACTGCAATGGGGCTTCACAGCAGTACACCTCATTACAGAGCATTTCAAAACGCTGAAACCACACACCTTTGTGGAGCACACTGGAAGCAATTCACTAGGAATACACTGTAGTTTAGAAAAGTATTAATTTCCATGATTTGCAGGAAAGGAATTAGTAACAAGAAGATCATCAGTAAAATCTCAAAATTTCTTCTAAAATCCAGAAGGCAGCTCTCAGAGGAGAGGATAATTAAACACAGACTCTCCCTGCTTTATTAAACCACCAGCCTCTTAATGGGAAGTCTGAGATGTAGTCTCCAGTCTGCCAAAGCCTTCCCTTGACTCTCGGCTCTCCTGTCTGCAGCTGTAGGGCCAGGACACTTACATTGCGTTTGCCTCAAGGACAAGTTGGAGCACCAAGTTCAAAAATATCTGTAAATCTCTTGTAAAGCAGCGGTGAGAAAAAGGTGTATGTGCAACGTGTCGTCTGCTCACTGCCAAACTCTCCAGTACTGGGTAGGTTTGAAGGTGTCCAGGAGAATCAGACAGGTTACACTAAGGAAGCACCCTAGAGAAAGCCTGTATGGTTATGCATCAAATAAAACATGTTATTATGAACACATTTCCTTGAGATAACAAAGTTGAAAATGTAATGTGGAACAGAGGTGTGGTCGGTGCTCGCTTCGATGGAGGAACACCGAACTGTAAGTATTCCTTCCCCCTGGACTGATGTGTGACCCACAGCAGGACACAGCAGAGGGAGAAATGCTGGGTGGGCCTTTGGTTTAACATATTTCAAGTTTAAAGATTTACATGTTTTGTACTTTTGGAATTTTTATATGCAGGTACTAATTCCCCATTGCATTCAGTAGGACGAAGGGTTTGCTGAAAAGGAATCCAGCAGCAGTACGCGTTCTCGGCTCATCTCCCATGGGACTGAGCCAACCTTCTGCCTGGCAGTAGCTGGGTACCACACGGGGAGGCAGACTGATACCTCATTTCAGGTCTGCCTGGCCTGTTCCTCTTTACAGTCAGTGACCGCATACGTGACACGACAAATTCTGAATTCTTTTGGCAATTTTGAACTCTGTACATACCTATTTCAGATGGTAATCTCTACTTTGCTTCCAGAGCCTCGGTTGTGCCTTTGTGCCAGCTCTGCAGCCTTCACATCAGGTTAAAACAAGTAGGCAAGGTTGGGAGAAAGCCCCCACGTCGCTGGCGCCTACACGTTCCACCTGGGAGATCCTCCATTCAGACGCAAGCACTCTCGGCTGGCCAAGCCAGGAGAGCCAAGAGAGGTTACAAAAGGCAATCTCTTAGGAGCCATTTCCCACCAGACTTCTCTAGGGTAGGACGGCGGATCCTATATACGGGCTTCTTGTGTACTTATGGGGAACTGAAGGTAATGAGGTAAGAAAATCCTATTAACAGTAAATTTAGACTGTCTACACAGGGGCTAGGCCTCAGGCACTTGCTGCTTTCTGAATGATCCATCGCTTCTCCTGAGATGTCTGAATGAAGTGTGAGGTTTAGAACTCATTTGCAAAATCTGTATATTTTTGCTTTAGTTATCTTACAGTCCTGTGGAGGCAAGCTGTGACTCACAGGTGACTTGTAAACTCTAAGGCAAAGAGTCAGAAAAAACCCCAAACACTGAAGAGAAAGAAATGAAGGTGAGTTCCTCCTGTGCAGGATGCGACCATAACTCTCGCAGGGCAGAAAGCTGACTTTCTTACCTCTGTCAACCCTGCAGAAAGGAAAGGTCTCCTGCACTCAAGGCCATCATAAAACTGTTAGTGGTTTGGGGGCTGGACATTACAGGAGGTCCCCTCTATCACCTGAAATCAGTCCACGTTAAAAAAAAAATGCTACGGTGGCAGTACGTCCACGCTTTGTGAAAACATAAACATCAAACTGACGTGCACAGCAACATGGCTGGAGGGAATGGACAGATGGTAAAAGGACAAAGGCCAAAATTAAGTAAATTTTACCCTTTTTTATTATTTATTTCTTCTTTATATTCATCAATCTGAAAAATCTGTTATATTCTTATCTAAAATTCTTTTGTTCACAAGCAAACCAAAAAATATGTACATTACAGAACACAATTTCAATATACATTTGTGAAACTCCCCTGCTTCCTTTACACCTACACGCTGCAAACATACACTGGGGTATTTATGTGCAACAACAGCAACCCGAGATCAGTGCTTAAAAATAAACCAAACAGGAATTGCACAACACACACTAAGGCAGAGGCTGAGGAGATGACTTTAGGGGAACACTGTCCATTGTGTTCTCCCTCATATGCTGAAGAACTCAGAATTTTTGATACATGATTTTCCACAGTTCTTTATGGCTTCTCAATTTAGGCATCTGCATCAAATGAATTTAGGAGAGAACGTAATGGTTTCTTTGATGCAGTGCTTCACAACGCTGAGCACCAAGCCTTACAGTAAAACAGACGCATCACTCACAGAAAAAGCCTGCATTTGCTTTCAGTAGGTCGGTCCAGCAGGAGATGGCATACAGCAAAGTAGGTAGTATAAAGGCACAAAGTTTATTTTGCTTATAAACCCAAGCATCAAGTGATTTCTACTCATATACCAAAGAAGATAGGAGCAGAATGGGCAACAATGTGAGTTTTTGTTGATTTTAAACCAGCATGAGTCGAATATTTAAAAATCAGCATTTCAGCTGCTGGAAAGTTGTCTACATGGCAGTAGGCGTTAGGAAATTTGCCCATCCGTGAGCTTAGTAGCAAAAACAAGCTCCTGGTGCACACTCAGGTCTGAGGAGATGAAAGCTCATGCCCCATGGTTCAGAGGAAGTGCTATTGTGATAAACTATTCATTATGAATGAATACAGCATTTATGTGGCAGGCAGTTTGAAACATAGCAGCTCCCCAAAGGACATGTTATCTACTTGGTTTTATATCCCTCAAAGGCAGACGGCATCTAGAAAGGAACACAAAACCCAGGGGGCTGCTTCTTTGAGTGAATTTCCCCCCCAACCCCTCAGGAGGGCTCCTGCTCAGGGCTGTACACCTCCTGCCACAGAACAGCCCAGGAGTATTTGGGGTCCCACCAAAGGCACTTGCTGTGCGGCCTGGCAGCAGAGAGGGCTGGAAAAGACCAAATGTGCAGCTCCATGTATTGTATTTCAACAATGACCCTACAGAACTCTTGTGGGATATCTCCAAATAAAAACAGAAACCATCTACCAGACAACCACAACAGAGAAACTGGATTGGAACAGAGAAGCACATGATAAAAAGATACGAGAAGTTTTCACTAAATTATTCAATATAGGAGTAAGCAAATCACACTTTATTGGCAGGTCACTGTCCAATTAACCTTTACAAATAGTTGCATTTGATAGACTTGTTTTTATAAATGTTAACATAAGACAGATTAATACATTGTCTGAATTAGAGGGCTAAACTGCTCCAGTTTAAGCATTTGGTAAATCCCCAGGGCAGCAATACACGCAGTTATTAAATGCCCTAAAATCCAGATTAAAAATTTACCAATAGAAAGACCACCTGCAAATTTCAAATTACGTTAATATGAATGATTGCAGTGACTAAATAAAAGAAATTACCCAAAAGTTTTATTCTATTTTAACCTGCTTGTCTCTACCTCAGATAGCATTTACATTTGTATCTGACTTCCTTTTAATGCTGAACCATCAAAGTGATCATTTTAGCAGTGGGTAAATGCCTAAAAATGCAGCAGTTACTTCTAGTGGTGGGCATGTTAAATCCTTCCCAAAATAATTCAGATATACCTTAATTTCCGCTGTGCAATAAGGCAACAGAACTCACATCCACAGGGAAACTGTTTTGAAGAAAATATAAATTGATCTAAACCTGCTGCATGTTCACAATCAACAAAACCTCATTTGGAAGCTAGGAGGAAAAAAAAATCCCCCTTCCTCTATTATTTCTCACCAACATTCGAATTTTCAGTTGAATCTTAGAGTTTGGGGCACAGAAGTACCACGTGAATGACAAGACAGAGGCAGGCAGTGTTGCAAGCCGCCCAAGTGCAGCTGCGTTAGCAGCACAGCCAACTCCATTTTACACATGCACAAGTATTTGTGGTCTAAACACAAATGCTTCAAGAGGCTTTTAGGGAAAGCTGCCCGTGCTGGTAACCACAGCCCAAATTATCTCCAGCGAAAACACAGACTTGTGAGTTACACAGGAAGACCAAGTGCTCCAGTACAACCCTAATAAAGGTGGGAATAAACCAGTACAGAGAAAAGTGCATTTCCCCAGTATGGAAAAAACAGGCTTTGAGCATCAATCCACTTTATGTAACTCACTCGTCAGGGGTAGCTCCTCCACCGCAATGGTCTCAGACAGATCCAGGTGACCTTGAACCGAAGCTTCCATTTCTCCTATCATTTCGTCAAGCCGGTCTCCTCTCTCATGCAGAAAACCTGGGAACAGAAACTCTGTTGCTCTCATGAGTGCATCTGCTTAGCGAAGAATAATGAAAACTAAACCAGCGATGCATCACTTTCTCTCCGAGGTTCCAGTCCTTGATTACTCCATTCCAAATGCTGTTATTACTCATCAAAAAGCACCAAAAACGTTTTGTTGTCAAGGTATGGAAGAGTTTTTAAATGCCGAATTATTTGTTTGGTGGATTCATTCTTGACGACAGCCTGCAACAGCTGTGGATAGGCAAGAGGCTCGTTGGAAGTTTTGCAGGAAGCACAGCATGTTGGCCAAAGAGGGCAATTTCACTTAAAGCCCAGAAAACACCTCCTCCCTCCATGCCTGCTAACAACAGAACTTTGCATGCTTTATGGCCAAGAGCAGCTTGAACCTATATAGCAGAAAGCATCTAAACCCATTCAGGTGGAGCTATATATTTTTACTGAATGATCGCCGCTGTCTAAAACAACAAGGGAATTGTTTGCCATGTATGTCAGTCCTATAGGGTAAGAAAGCCCATGGCTAATCAGAGGGTTAAAGATGGGAAACTCCTCAGGTTTGCCTAAGCATATCACAGCCTGGCTACAGACATCCGTTACTATAACGCGACCCTCTCTATCAAAGGCCACAGCCGTGGTATGTATTTTGGAGGGGAAAACAAGGTTCAGACCAAAGCTATCCATCTGGCCGACGAGATCCATCTCTGCGCTGAATATCTTCACTCGGCTGCTGCTGTTGTTCAGTCCTTGAGCTTTCAGGTGCTCTATCACCACGATAGCACCCGAGGTTTTGGAGACTGCGACCCCTCTTGGGCTGATGAGCTGAGACCAGATTATCTGACACTTCTTTAATTTCCCCATCTTGAAGTCAGCCGTCAAGCGGTAGAGAGCACCTGCCTCTGCATCAGTCAGAATTACTTCACTCTCAGAGGTGGCATCCAAGCCCCATGGCAAACCAAAACCTTCCCGGACAGCCAGGACCCCTCTTCCCTCAAAATCAAAGGCCTTCACGGAGCGGTCCCCGCCATCGGTCACCACCACATG